ACGTTTTCTGATCGCACTCTGTTGCTCCGCAGCCTCTTTCTCGTTAGAAAAATTAAGAGCTTTTCTCCTAGTGCAACTGCTGACTGACTACTTTCAGTATATTTCGGGATCCACGACCACATTCCTTAAGCAGTAGAAGATTTCTCAGGTTCGCGTAACAAACATCCCCAAAAATCCTCACACTTCTTCACATTTGTAAAGGGGAGTTGCAAGATTTGATATGAGATGCGCAGCGAAAAGGGATCCGCCGACGGAAAAAATTGTAGAATTTTGAAGCCAGTTTTGTGAAATGCTAGAATATATTCCCATCTTGGGAATTATGTCAAATTTGCCAGAAAAATCTGTGAATTACGCCGATTTTTAGAACTTTGAGGGACAGTACTTCCCCCCCCCCTGTAGAATCAAAAAATGGAAACAAAAATCTGACTTTTGTTCTCCTCAACAAAATCGTTTATATCTTCTGATTATGCGATTTGAATCACCTACTTCATTGTCACTATTTTTGCAGCTCTTTTTATTATTCTGACCTTGGTAAATATATTTTCAGCGCCGCAATGCAAGAAATCTAGAGATGTGCTAACATAATCCCTCTAAACGTTTTCCATCGAACCACAAAGGAAACAAGCATCGGTTCAATACCCATTCCTGAAAATACTCATATCCTTGGGCACATTCATCACATTCTGTCTCGTTCGCCTGCTTTTGACAATCCGAAGAAGTTTAGACCAGAGAAGTTTTCTGGAGGATGGAGTCACGCCGAATAAAGTGCGTTCGATAGAGAAGTTTTTGAAAAATTCAAATCTCTAGAGAATTTACTGTAAGCGGAAAGTTTACAACCATTTTTGGGAAACAGTAGAACAACTCTGTCATTTTCTGTTGGCAAAAGACAATGTGCTAGAGAAGCTTTGGCTCGGGTAGAGCTATTTATAGGCCTTGTGACGCTGCAAATTATAAGGTCAGGGCCGGTAGTAAACCTGTTGAAACGCGCAGCTCAAACTCAGAGTTAACTCAGAGTTAAGTCTGAGTTAACACGCACCTTTCAGGGACCATTAAGACCTGCATAAGCAAACCAAATTGGGAAAAGGATTATATGGCAGGATACCCCGCAAGACGTACTTTATGCCAAGTATGGAAATGTAGCGTAATTCGTTCCACGCGAGACGCTACGCGACGAAACGCGCAGCTCAGCTGCGCGTTAACTCTGAGTTTGCTGCGCGTTAACTCTGAGTTTGCTGCGCGCCCGCGAAACTCGTATAACTCTGAGTTTGGTTAGAGAAAGGGAAATAGTGCGTAAACGCAGAGGTCCAGAAAAAAGTCCTCCGGGGTAGATTTTGCTCTGAGTTTCATGAAGCATGATGGGGGTATCATGGTGCACCGCTGAGCACAAAAATTTGAAATTTTGTAAATGGTCCCGGTGGTTATCCGACACGCTGATCACGAATCCGATGCTCATTTTTCGCCATTCGCCCACCTAACGAGGTTACGGTAGGGATACGGTAGTTGGGCGAAAGTCACAAATTTGCTGAAACTTGGTACACTGGGGTTATTTCGCATGCTGATCACGAATATAACATTCGTTTTTCGCTACGGGGCCACGGAGAGGGATTGCGGTAGGTATACGGTAGTTAGACGAAAATCACGAAATTTCCTGAAACTTGGTACAGTGGGGTTTTTTGGCACGCTAATCACGATTATGATATCTATTTTTCGCTACAGGCCCACAAATTGGGATTACGGTAGCTTTACGGTAGTTGGGCGAAAATTACTAAATCGAGTAAATTGGTATTATGGGGTTTCTTGGCACGCTGATCACGAATCCGATGCTCATTTTTCGATATTCGTCCACATAACGAGATTACGGTAGGAATAGGGTAATTGGGCGAAAGTCACAAAATTTACTGAAACTCGGTACAGTGGGATTATGGTACGCCGATAACAACTATAATGTCCATTTTTCGCTACGGTGCCATACAACGAGGTTACGGTAGGGACACGGTAGTGGGCGAAAATCATAAAATTCGCTGAAAATTGGTGTGGTGGGGTTATTTGCCATGCTGATTATGAATATGCTAACCATTTTGCATGAAAATGCAATTCATGGTTTTCATCAGCCAGCCATCAGTGCCTTTTCCATCTTGAACCTCTTAGCAGCTGCCTGCGCTGTGAAATCAAAGCCATAAGTAGTCTCATCCATATTTTTCAAAAACACATGCACCCTAAGTGGTCTTATAGAACGACCCTTGATGGCAAAAATGGCTAGTAGACTATTAGGCAGTAGGCACTGCCTACTTGAATTTTATTACCATTTTCGCATGACTTTTTCAACCATACAACTACCAGCATTGAGAAACTAATATGTAGTCCCAACCACCTTCTTTTCCAGAAATGTAAATGTAATAGATTTTCGCAAGAGATTTTTTTGCCGAAACCAAACCATGAGCTATGCTTTTTGCTAATTTGTGATATAGTCGTGACGAACGCAAATCTTCATCGAATGAACAAATATTGGATAATATTTTTGAAAATTTAACGAACGAATGAATAGTTGAATTTTGAGAAATCCCCAAATGAAATATTAGTCGTGTTCGATTTTTATACTATTTGAATTCGAATATTCGAATATGGGCACATTCCAAAATTCGAACTTCGAATATTCGACTAAACAAACTAGATCAAATAATTGAATAAAAGAACAACTGAATAGCATCGTATCGAATGCAATAAATATTCGAATACTCACATGCAATATTGGAGTATTTAATCGCAATAGTCGATTCAATTTGAACAAGGATTTCCGAAACTTCTCGATATTTGTATAATTGAATAACTTTATTTTAAAATTCCTCGCATATTCAAATATTCGAATAATTTATTCTTCTGAGTGGTCGAATGAACGAAATATTCGAATAAAAAACACTCATCAGCCAGCCGATAGTATTATCAAAATGATAGAGGCATGTAGATGATTCCATGATGTGCTTTATCACACATGGTTGTTACATTTTACATATATTTGAGTTCGAGAGCTTTTAGCTGAATTTTGATACTTAAATTATGTTTTGTCAATAAAGCAGTCACCTTCGCTAGTTATTCTATTTAGGAATGCAGCTGGGGATAATCAACTCTTCTAAGATTGAGATTTTGTGAATAGAAGATTGCGTAAGTGGGGGTTGAGAATGGAAAGGGATAGTACGTATAGCAGTGGCGTACCCAGAATTTCCGCTCGGAGGGGGGGGGGGGGTGGGGGAATTTTCAGATGAAGGTACGTGGCGTTAGCCACGCACTCCGAAGAATTTTTTTAGATGCCTTCCAAATTTTTTGCGGCTCTCTGACCCCAAAATTTTAGAAAAAAGGGGCCCGGCAGCCGCACCCCCGAAAATTTTTTTCGAGGCTAATTTGAGCTTTCAAAAATTTGCATATTACTCCAATTATTTACAAGTAAAAACAAGTCGCTTGCACATTTTTAGAACATATTTCAGTAACTTTTAAATTCGCGACCCATTCTCGGCGGAGGGGGGGGGGTCGCCCTCCCCCCCCCCGCTCCCTACTCGGTACGTCACTGACGTATAGGTATTTTAGTAAATCCATTGTTTACAGCGAAGAGGCACCATGCCTTTTGACGTGCCTGAACACGTAGGATTTAAGCAATGAGCCTCTAATGGAGGCAGAATGGCTGTGATGCCAGGGTGTTGTGTAGTCTAGTGATCTAGTAGTAGGTACTTCGCGCCGAGCAACGGAGGTTCAACTCTGGACTTAGTCGGAGCGTTTTGCGATGAAGCGTGTAGTAGCTCCTCAACAACTATAGCGGCTCCGCAAGTAGCAAAACGAAACTCGGAGTCAACTCTGAGTTTCAAAACAAAAGTCAGAGTTAACTCTGAGTTAACGCGCAGCTTTAAACTCGGAGTTTCGACCAGATTACTATCGGCCCAGATCTCTACGCGAGTTTGAAAAGAATAAAATTTGCTCTATTTTAGATAGAACCAGCGAAAGAACATGAAATCGACCTCAAGCCAATTTTCGCAGCTGTTCTCTTACCAAAAGCACAACCACTTCGACTTATTCCGATTACATCACAATAAATGTCATAAAATAAGATTTTTTAAAGCTTATTTTTTATTATCATCGAAAAACTTCAACAAAAATAATAACCGGAGTACGAAAGACGAGAATCAAAGAGGAATGAATTTTTCCAGTATGAAAGTCAACATTACTGTCAATACATTGGAGTGTGATAAGGGTCACAAATTAGCAGAATATGGTGTGACCTTGGTGGTTTTCGACAAACAAGAAAGTTAGCCAAAGAAAGAGAAGTTCTAATCAAACCAAGCATATAAAATAACTCTGCCATTGCAATAAAAAATGCGCAAATTGAGAATAGGACAGAACAAAATTTTATAAAACAACAATTTTTTTACTTCTAGGAGGTGGTAGCTTTGAAGCCACCTACTACTAAATTTGTTTGCATTTGTTAAGTATAAATATCTGAACGATCACTCATGGAAAGAATTATAAACAGGACATAATTTTCGGATCCAACCTTTTATTGCAATGGAGTAAAACACGTGATTTAAAGCGATATCAGAACAATGAACATTGGTCAAAAAGTGCAACAATCCACTACCATTTTTACCCTTTCCTATTGTCCTATTGACAGTTTTTCTTGCAATCATTCATCCCCACCCGTCATCTCCTATTTGGCACAAACCACAAAGTCAGCAGATAGATATATAGGTAAAACGGAACACATGATAAACCGCTGACCTGTGTAAATGCTGTTATTCGTCGCTTCCTTTGTGATTTCTGCTCTTGCGATATACATATGGCTTTATTACGAAAATGTCAAGCTCTATCCCAAAGGACCAACACCATTACCTATATTTGGGAATTTGCTGTCTGTAAGACTAGTCAAATCTATTTTGGCTTAAAATAGCCATGAGTGAAAGTGAAATATTTAGGCCAACATTCGCAGATTGCATGAACAACTCTCAGATTACGCAAAAATGTACGGTAGCGTATATACAATATGGCTACCAAAACCTTTCGTTGTCATAACAGACTACGAGCTCATCAAGGAAGCATTTGCCAAGAAAGGTAAAATTTGATATTTACGTACTTCCTTCTTTATACCTAGGCATAATGAACCGAATACTGTGTAGTGTTCTTCTGCCAACTCGGTTCTTGTGGTGGATTTTTCTTGATGACCTAACGTCTCGACAGACATCGTCTTTTTTGGAGGTGTGGAAGAGGACTGCATTTATATTATCTGTTAGTCTATACGACCACGCTTCATCAGGCTTCCGTGTTTAAACCTTGTCGAGGCCCAACGTGTGAGGAACCATTCAAAATGGATCCACCAACCCACTGAGCCAGCTCAATGAGTCAAGAACTATACATACTATGCGGTTCTAGTTTGAATAGTAACATAAGAGGGAAGAAAATGGCGTCATGTCTTGCCTTCTTTTTTTTCTTCATACTCGGCCGGCGTATATCCATGCCGCCTCTAGCAATTTACGTGCCGAAATTTCTGAACCATGCGCTAAAGTTGCACATTTCCCATTGAAATCGCTACCATTACGTGCCTCGATCTTATGTTTGCCTGACGGTGATGACAGTTTTACTCGTCTTCTATTACCCGTCTCTTTCCACACGTTCTTCCATTCTAACACCTATTTCTCCCGTCTCTCCTATACACGTCGTCGTGCCGAAGCTCAAGTATTCCAGCTGATAAACGATACCCTCCTTCGCGCAATCGGATTTCTGTAGGGCAGACGATGCACTCTTTTGGAGTCGGTGAATTTGCGACCATTGCACGCGCATTAAGTTTTCTCAGTTATCTTACTCTTTCCAGACGTATTTCTGCTATCAAATGTTAGTTTCACTTGAACGAAATGATCTTGAAAAGTACGGAATAATCCAAATGGTTTGAACTTTGTGTCATCCTGCTTGTGCACCGCACCCTCACCAACTCTCGCGATCATGCAGAGGCCCACACATCATACAATCTGTTCCTGATCAACCGCTTTTTGATATCAAAATCGGAACGACAACATTATTCGTTTTCACCTGTGCTCGTACGATGCATCAGTTCACTGCTTTATTGAAACTATCGGAAACGTAGGGAGCTCATCATCATCATTGTTACTTTGGTAGGATTACAGCTTGCGAGCGGTCTGAATGTTTGCTGGGGCGACACCACAGTAGAGTAGGCACTACCGCAAGCAGTTTTAGATTTTCGCGACCCGAATTTTCTCTTTACCCGTGCACACTTCTACAGAGGTCTTATAGATATTGCGAATGATGCAACATTTTAGAGCTGTAGGATTATCGTAGATAAGTATGTTCCTAGAGCTTCCCTTTTTGTGCCTTTTAATTCAAGTACCGTTGAACAAATTGATATGGATGTTTAGAAAGGAAAAAGCCATCCAGTGCGGGGTCTCGCGCGTAATCTTGATGCAGCTATACTGGTCTAATTTCCTAAAGCAATCATCCATCTTGGATTGTGTCGACGTAACAATGCAACAGTCATTGATGTTGGCGGCAGTACACTAATGGTAATCGCGTAAGTACTGGCTCCTCAATCTTACTCATGTTACACATCGCGAGAACCTCTAGCGAGTCTCTCACCCATCGCAAGTCCTCTAATCTGAGAATAGTAATCCAGCGACTTAAGTATGTTACAATTTCTTTAATTTACGTCATAAGACTCGACAACTGCCAGATTCAAAACTCATGAAACTCAAAACGCAGATGTTGAACAAATTGCTAAGTGTTGACTAAATGTGCAGGTACTTTTCTAAGGGCTGGCTTACAATCTTTAGAAACCAGAATATATGATCAGCGGGTCCGACTACACTCTTTTTATAGGGCACGTTTTATTCTGATAATGAGGCGCTTGGTTGTGTGGACTAACAGATGGTATAACTGCGATTCCCTCTCAGCTCAAGACGATATTTGTCGAAACGTAAGGTCAACATAGATCCACCACAAAAACCTGGTCGCCAGAACAACAATGTCCAACATTTGAGATCCTTTGTATGGATAATTGGGTAAACGCAGTGATTAAGGTGATGAATTCGCCGGAAGACCACAAGGTTATCCCCACGATTTCTTTGATTTTGTACATAATGGAGGTGTAATAAGATCGCAGGTTATGATCTTGCATACTATTTTATTAGCGAGCGAAGCAAAAGTTTATACAGGGCGAAAACTGGAAAGAGCAACGTCGAACTTCCTTGCATATTCTCAGAGATTTTGGCATGGGAAAGAATCTTATGGAAGAACAGGTGAGGAATAATCCCGAGCATTCTAATTCAAGGGTAACACGAATCAGAGTAATGTAAGTTTGGAGAGCAACTCTTAAAACTGGGAAAAAAATTATTTGACAGTCCTGATCCCACCACGCTGTAAGAATATCAGGGCTTGAGAACGTAATCCAATCAGAATTTTTGAGATTTTGTGATGCGGTCTTCAAATTCAAATCAACGTTCATTTTTGATCACTCTGTAAAAGACAAATTTTGAATTTCTCGCAGGTTTTACTCTCAGCTCAAGAGTTTCTCGCTCACTTGGCTTCCATTAAAGACAAAGAAGCAATGGATCTACGCCATCCAATACAGGTAAAATTGGCATTCGCCAAAAAAATTTTTCATGTCAAACTGTTATCCATTTTATTTACTGAGAACATTCAAAATAATACGAATTTGCAGGTCTTCATTGCAAACATCATCAACAAGACATTGTTTGGATTCAGCTACGAATATGACAAAAGCGATCGTCTGATGAATACTGTAGATCAATTACAACAATTTTTTGATGACGTTAAGTAAGTCGAAAAACTGTGTTACTTTTCTATTTTGCAGAAATCAGAATAGATTATAATAAAAGGAAATTAAGTTTAGTCGATCGAAATTGCCAATTTTTAGGGACAGCAGAATCATGTTTTTTATACAGAAATTTCCATGGCTAGAACACATACCTATGATCAACTATCTAGCCAGAGAACGATTTGCACAAAGGGTTGATGTTGTAAGTTGAAAAATCTCTGTCTTTTGCCTATATTAAAAGTTCCACATAGGTAAAAAATAATGTCACAGAGGATGTGGAGCGTTGCCTGGAGACTTATAGCGTCGACCAAGAGCCAGAATGTCTGGTACACGCCTACTACCAGAGAATGCAGCAAAATTCAAATTTAGAGTAGGGCCCACCTACACAAAGCTGGAAAGTTTTCATCGCTTGCTATTCAGTTACCGCAATCTTCTCAGCATATGTATGGATTTTTTTGTTGCTGGAATGGAAACGACATCGACAACATTGCGTTGGGGATCACTATTTTTGGCTGCGAACATTGATGTGCAGGTAAAAGGACCTCCAATGACTTCGACACATGACTGAGAAAAAAATTGCAGGATAAAATTCGAGCTGAAATCATGAGCGTATTGGGACCAGATGGAAAACCTAGCACATCCTTACGAAGCAGAATGCCGTATACCTGGTATGGTGATGACTTTAAAGAAAATCAACAGCGCTATTTTGCAATAATTTAATCTTTCTAACTTTTGTCTTCACAAAAGCATGTTTTTCTTTCGATGAACGAAAAAGGAATAGCCAATCTAAACATTCAAAGGAATATGCAGGGTTTCAAAAGGTATTCACCCACTATTTAATCGCTGATAATTTACTTTTCAAAAGTTTATTGCTTAGCTTCAGGTACGATTTTGTAGAGCTGTCTTTTATTATACTTAAACCGATATACGATTATCATCGATGGGTTCTAATTACTGTAAAATCACGGCAGGAACTTCCATCATAGAATGACATTGTGAAGTAGGCTTTGAAAACTCAATAAAAATGTTTAGAAAGTCGTGAAGCAGTGTTTTCAGACAAGCTGCTTATAGCATATTGTATATCAGACAACTTTGGAGCCTTTGAAATAGTCAAACCACAGTCTTTCAAATAGTCTAACCACATTTTTTAACAGGATTAAAGAAACGATGTTACAGTTCGCCTGGCTTAAAGGCATCGTCCACTCTTTTGTTTTGTAAATCTGGCAGTAAAATTTTTTTAGCGCTGCAGTCCAAGAGATCCAGAGATGTGCTAATATCGTTCCACTAAATGTTCTCCATCGAACGACAAAGGATACAAGCATTGGCGATATTCCTATCAGGGCTCGGCACGAGCTGGCACCAGGGAATTTTGAAAACGAAGTCCCCTTTGAAATTTGCCAATTTTTACGAAGTCCCCCTTGACTTTTGGGAAATTTTACGAAGTCCCCTTTGATCCTCAACGATATCCCCCCTAAAATCCTAAAAAAATCCCCAAAATCCCCCAAAAAACGAAACGTCGACTAAAAAAAAAAAAAGGTCGCCGCCGCCAATTTTCCGTATGTCTTCGCCCACAAAAACGAAACCCCCTTTGCTTTTTGCCCCAAAAACGATATCCAGCTTGCCCCGTTCCAGCTGGTGCCAGGCCCTGATTCCTATTCCTGATAACACTTATATTATTGGGCACATCAACCATGTCATGGCTCGCTCACCAGTGTTTAGAAATCCCGAAACGTTTCAGCCGGAAAGATTTCTTATGGACGATGGAGTCACTCCTAAAAAGGTGTATTTGGGAATTATCTGGAGTAGTTTTTTAGCATTGTTTTTGTTACTAGGAAACGGTAGAACAGCTCTGTCCCTTCTCTATTGGCAAACGACAATGCGCAGGTGAAGCCCTAGCCAGAGTGGAACTATTTATAGGACTGGTGACCCTGCTTCAACACTACAAGGTCAGGCTTCCCCATCACTCTGATGACCATGTAGCAAATCCATTTTTATTCCAGATAGAACCTGCAAAAGGACATGAGATCGATCTTGAGCCGATTTTCGCTGCAGTTTTGCTACCAAAGCCACAACCTCTACGACTTATACCACTTTCATCTCACCACTAATAAAACTCATGGCTCTATACAAATTTTATTATACCTACCTCTTCGGGCATAAATAATTATGGTGAAAATATGACTAAAGATAAAGTATGTAGTCTTTGTCTTGAAATCGCTCATAGTTCTTTCCGCGTGCTCAGCCAGGGTTCACAGAAAATCGCGCCGCATCCCAAAGCAAGTGCCGCGGCCTCGGGATGCGAGCGCTTTCAGATTACGGAGGCCCAGAGCACTGTTTGCCGCGCTATCCGACTACGATTACGGTAGTTTCCTTGCCACAATCGCCTCCGGACCACTCCTTCTCTAACTGTGGTCAACCAAAGAGCTATATATGTATAGCGGCTCCTCATTTCGGTGGCTGCATGCTTTCGTTTGCAATCGACATCCTTTTTTTCCTGTTATCAAAGTTTACTTAAAGTCTTCACAAAAAGTGCCTGATGAAGGGTGGGTGAAACTCTTATCATGGGAGTTCTCAGGTGGAGCTTTTTTACCATTGCAAAAAGACGTCTACTTGAAAACTCCTATTATAAGAGTCTCACCCACTCTGCACCAGGCAATTTTTTTTTGTTAGAGCCCGGGCGAACTATTTCTTTTCTGAAAGTGGGGGACGAGAGGATTCCGAAGGTGAGCATCTCGGCGTACAAGACGTTCATCTATAAAAGTTATGAACTTTTTTATTATAAAAACTCGTAAATATCTGGAAATCACTACCCACACCTTCACCAGGTACTTCAGCAGACTCTAGGCTAATTATATATTCTTTGAAAGCGGAGGATAAGACGCTCCAATGGTGATCATCACGTCGTACACGATGTTCATCTACAAGTACAACTTTTTTGTCCTGGAAACTCGTGGGGACCCAGAAGTCACTTACTAAACCTTTTATCAGGCACTTTTATAGAAGAACATTAGGCAAACTATACATTTTCGAAGGCGGAGAAAAACCTATCCTGAAAACAGCTTCCTTTCTGACCTTTGTGTTCATCTACAGATGTTTCAATTTTTCCTTCTTTTGAAAGTTCGAGAATACTCATAAGTCTTCCTCCTTTCCGATAACAAAGACTTTTATAGTGCTTTGAATAGCTTCTATGCTATTTCTAAAAACCACACTCTTTCTCGCGCTTTATCGTTTGACTCCTGGTACTTGCCACTCGACACACTCCCCAAAACCATGTTCCTCCTATGATACAATTTCTTCATGCATAATCTTCCCATAGTCTCACGATAGTCGTCACATTGTTCCTAGTATTTTCACAGAATCATAGAGCAGAAACAAAACGAGAGAAGGATATAAACTAAATCAGCTTGATTTGTTTTACATACAGGGTGGCCCAAAATAATGCGCACACTGTTTGATTTTGAATAACTCTCTTATTATGAGGTCTTTCGAGAAGCGGTAAGCTCCATTTTGTAGAGCTGGCTTCAGCTTAGATTTGCAGTATAGAATGTATCACCGACCGCTCTTCATTACTGTAGGATTACGGTAGAAACTTGAAAGAGGGTTTTGGGCCATGAAAAGCCATATTTTGCCTCAGAAAGGAATCAAAACAGCCTGAAAACTTTTACACTAGGCCAGTTAGAGTTGCTGATTTTAACTATAAAGTTCCCAACTTATTATGATGCTTCACTGAAGAGTTATGCAAGGTAAGCAGTAGCGGCCATTTTCTCATTGTTCCTAAAAGTGCGGTTACACCGTTTATAAAGCTTCGCAATTTGAGAATAGTTGAGTATTAAACTCAGCGTCCCTAAAAACCCTATTACACAAGTTTTCACATGTTTTTGAAAATTTTTGAAACGGCAGCTTTTCCCAGTGACACAGTGACACCATATGTTCCAAATTTCTACCGTAATCCTACAGTAATGAAGAGTGGTCGATGATTCGCTCTATACTGTAAATCTAAGTTGAAGCCAGCTCTACAAAATGGCGCTTACCGCTTCTCGAAAGACCTCATAATAAAAGAGTTATTCAAAATCAAACAGTGTGCACATTATTTTGGGACACCCTGTATTAGTATGAAACAGGCTCCAAGCGCGAAGCCTGCAAAAATCTCAGTTGAAGACTGGTTTATCGTTCAAAAAATGTTCATAGGGTCGTTCTTGGACATAATTGGAAGAATGGCAGCCACAATTCTTCGACGTAGTTCTTCATCTTAGAGCAGGCAAAAAGGTTAACAGGATAGATTTGGCTTAAATTTAGTCTCAAAGATGTAATCGACAAGTTAAAAGCAAATTTCTACTCTCCTTGCGCTCTGGGACATTTCGAGGAGTTGCGGTAGGAATGGTAGAGGGTCAAAGTTTTCTGCCTGGAACTTTGTGCAGGGGGTTATTTAATGAGCTATGGACATGATATTGATTTTTCACGGTACGGTAGATAAATCGAAATCTCAAATTGGCTCTAAACCTAGCTAAAAAGGTTCTCCAGCGGGCTCGTCGCGAATATCATGCTCGTGCGCTGCAAAAACGCCACCTGGATTATAGTATGGGCCGTCCGCGCTGCGCGCGGAGAGCAATGCTGTTGCTCTCCGCGCGCAGCGTCTCTGCGTCCGTCGAAGATAGAAGAAGCGCAGAGAAAAACAGGCGGCGAGAGTGCACGGGGAAAGAGGAGTGACGCGCAATACACACCTTGCGCACTCTCCGCGCCCTGCGCGGACGGCCTATAAGTTACAGTGCGTACTTAAAAGTTTTTCACGATTTTTAGGCCAGCTTGAACTTCACAAATCCACTTAAAGCCTCAACAAGCTAAATGAGCGAGGAGACGGTCGAACGGCGCACATTGATCAGCTGCCCCTGCCTAAGGCCCGTATGCACGTACATCCCCGCGGCGAGGGGAGGGGATCTGAGAGGGGAAGCGTCATATCTTGGCAGTCTACATATCTTTTTTCTTCTTTCTCTATCTTGCTCATGAGGTTTCTCATACACTGATACCTGCGCATAACGGATGCCAGGTTACTACCATACAAGATTAGATATTTAATATTTCGTCTGATCCCCTGGGGATCCCCAGGGGATCACATCACATTTTCAAAGTCCTTTATCTTCCTGAAAACTCAATGAAAATGCTTTAAAATTGTGCTGAGGATATACTACAGCCGTGCTAAACATGACTGTGGTAGAAATGAGTAAAACCTCAAGATAACAAAATCTTCGATGAACCGCTGCTCGCGAGCCAGGGATTACCGAAAAAATCAAAATCTTCAGATTCCATTTCTTCTGACGAGAACATGCTCAGCAGTATCGTAGTATATCTTCAGTACATTCAGCGTTTTCATTTATCGTAGTATATCTTCAGTACATTCAGCGTTTTCATTGAGTTTTTAGGAAGATAAATGACTTTGAAAATGTGAGGTGATCCCCTGGGGATTCCCAGGGGATCAGACGAAATAGTGAATATCTAATCTGGTATGGCAGTAACCTGGCATCCATTATGCGCAGGTATCAATGTATGAGAAACTTCATAAGCAAGATAGAGAAAGAAGAAGAAAGATATGTAGACTAGCGAGATATAACGCTTCCCCTCTCAGATCCCCCTTCTCCAGCGGGGATGTACGCGCATACGGCCCTAAGAGAAGCAGGGAATGAATTCAGATTTTTCCTGTTTGTCTCGAATTTCAACTGCATGACCTCGGTTATGCTTTCTGACACATTGACAGAAGTTTTGTAGTCTGAAACTTTTCCTTATGGAGTACCAATCCAGCCTGGCAGTGACGACTGCCGAAACGCGCGCCTTTCATATATCCAGAGCGCTACACTGGAGCAGACGTCAGAACTCTCTGCACAACGTTTCAGACTTTTACTGACGTATAATTTGATTATGCAACTCAAAAGGCCCCAAAACGCAAAATGTATATGATATTCGAAATTATGCTTAAAATCCCATAGACTTTTCTAAAAATCAAATCTGGAAGCTTTGACCCATATATCGTGTGCCTACCGACCCGAAAAACTTTTGCGAAATCGGTACGGTTTCTACGTTCAGCTCGCCAAGTAACCCTCCTAGACGAAAATTTACAGCAAGTCCAATTTTGACCCCATATCGTCTATCTATCGTAACCTTATGAATTGGCCTCAACACGCCAAGAAAACATGGTATTCGTGATCAACAGGTTGAACTATCTCAGTAGACCGAAACTAAACAGAATCCACGGCTGAGATTTTGGGCAGGGTAGAGAAATGCCGAAACTTTTGTGTTCCTGAAGTTGAAATCGATTCTGAAATGCAAATCAAAGAAACAAATGGAAACAATTGGAATACAAACTGAAGATCCGCAAATGAAAAAGAAATCGAGCTGAATGTAATACAAACATTCAGAATACTTCAAGAATGTGGTTATGTGCTCGAGTGTGACAATGGACGAATACCGGTGGTTTAATCGCCGCGTTTTTGCCGCTACTTCGAGTAAATAGCGACAACTAGAAATCGCAAAAACGATGATGTACGCCTTGCCCTTAAACAGATAGGTATCTATTCTTTATGTCAGAAGATGCGTGGCGTGGAGAACTGAGTTGTCCAATGCTATTGGATTCAGAAATTTCCACTCTGTCACGTAGGTCTAATCACAAGAGTTTTGTGCAAAGATCAAGAAGTATAGGTGAAGCTTCCTGATGACTTCAGTTAAAACGATGTTATGACCGAAGAAATGCGATACACATACAAATTCAAGGACAGATTTCCCACAGAATTAAATCACTGCTTCGGCTTCTAAATCCCGCTTTTCACCCCAGTTATCGCTTAGGTAGGAGGCCCTCTGCAATCTCAGACAAACGGCGGGAAGTTCCGGTGAACATGCGTAAAATATCAAAGTTCCGGAGAACCTTGTTCACCATTGGGGTATAGAAATGACAAAGTTCCCGTAATTTATGACGTCACGGGAGCCGCGGATTCAAAGTTCCGGTGAAAACGCGTGGGAACTTTGGCAAAGATGACAAAGTTCCCGTGAAGTACACTAAATACAAAGTTCCGGCGAACTTTGTCGTGCTAGCCAGCCGATCCGCGGGACCACGCTTCGAGGG